GATTTGCCTGCCTTCCTGAAAGGGACCCCATAGCCAACATTTCCATCGGCTTTGAGGTCTTCTTCTTCGTGCTGGGCCTGCTGCTGCCGGTTCTGGGGGGCTTCACCTTCGGCTTGATCCTGGCGGCCGTAGGCCAGCGGAAACGGGAAACACGGGAAACAAAATGCGACACGGGGCTGGTGGTGCGGAGAGGTGCGAGGTGTTTTTTGGGTAAGCAGGTTAGTAGGGGGAAAGATAAGGTTGACGCCATGTTGAAATCAACCCAGGTTTATGGCTGAGAACCCCTGCAAACCTTAGTTTATCAATAGGGATGTCCCTCGGTTTTGTGGCGAATCATCACTATTGGAGGGGGACACCCCCTATCAGTAAACCTGGGTTGATTAATATGGCGTCAACATTAGGGGGAAGTTGTGCTTGAACAGAAGACTAGGAACAGTTTCGTTGACGCTTCCTGGGCGATGGTTGGGAAGGGAAGATCTAGGGGGGCCCTGGGCTGGGGGCACAGAATGGGGCCTCTGTAGTTTGGAGGCTTTAGCGGGTGCATCCATGACAACCATCCTTGGGAAGGCAAAGCAACAAAAATGCACCTGCACCAGCGCCCAGCAATGCGTGCCCTCTGGCCCTGCGTCAATCTCGCAAGAACGCGCCTGTGCAATCACCACCATCCAACAGCACCCCAAACAGCACCCGAGCACTCGGCCGTCAATCTCCACCCTTACCAGCACCTCCAACCATCACCAGCACCTCCAACAGCACCTTCACCAGCCCCCTAGCACCCGGCTACCATTGCCAGCACCTCAATCAGCAAGCCCAGAGCAGCACCTGCGCTGCACCCTAGCACCCGCCGTCCATCTTGCAAAGATGCACCACACCGTCACCGGCAGCGCAAACAGCACAACAAGTAGCAACCCAAAACAACACCTACAGCAGCACCCCAAACTGCATGGTCTGTAGCACCCTGCCATCAATCTCGCAAAATGCGCCCGCACAGTCACCAGCACCCCAAAACAGCAGACATGCACCAGCACCCCAAATTGCATCCCCCCTGGCACCCAGCCATCAATCTTGCAAATCATGTGCCCCTCTTTAGTAGAAGCTAGAACCCCTATAGCTTTCAGCTATCAACCGCTTTTCTTCAACCACCCCGAACTTGCCCGCTTTTTCCAGTCTCCCAAAGTCCCCTGTCCAAAAAAAACGCTTTTCTTCCACCAGACCCCCCAAGAACCTCTGGGCCCGATGGCCAAATGGCCAGGCTGGGGCCTCTCCACGGGCGGGCTCCTGAGCTTTGTCAAGAAGCAACCGCCGCTGCCCCGGGAAAATGGTGGGTATGGGTAAAAATTAAACCACCAGGAATTGGACCGCAGGTTTTAGTCCTTCTTTCCATTTACCAGGGCAAGCCATTTGGGGTACCGATTTTTGACCCACAGCCAGGTGAGCAGTTTTGTTGCTGGGGACGGGTTGCTGGGGACGCTGGCGCCTGTCGTCTTCTGTAATTTGTTGGTGTTTGTTGTGGTTTGTATGGGGGGGGGCTCTCGAAGTGGTTCTGTTTGGATTGCTTCTGGATGTGTTTGTTCTTGTCTTTCTCTCCCGGAACTTGGAGCCTCCGGGTCACCAGGACACGTCCAGAGGGATGCAGGAGTGTTTGTTTGTCAGCCATCCAAAGGTCACTACTCTAGGGGTTGATTCCCCATTCTTTTCAACCATCGTTCTTTTCAACACCAGACGTTTTCCCTGGGTTTTCAGAGGTTTGCTAGAAATAAGGATCGATAGAAAGAATGGAAATGGAAGGTACCCCTGAAACTACTGGTATTTTGTAGGGCCCGCTTAGTCTAGCTTCAGGGCCCATTTTGTGCGCAAATCGCTCACAAATTTCAAACTCAGTGGGGGAAAGCAGGCTCCAAGACAAGTCTCCTTTGGGGGCATTTCAGTTTGGGATTTCTACAGTTGAGCAGTAGAAGCGGCTATGAATTTGAACTCGGAACCCCATGCAAAGAATGTGGTCACCACAACCAGCCCAGCACACAGCTGCTTAGGCAGTCCGAGAGCAGAGCTGTTGGCAGACGCGGCTGTTGGCAGTGGTTGCTTTGCGGCCTGAACTGTGCCCCTTTTATACTGCCAGGACCTGCTCAATTTCTGGGCGAGTTACTTGTTGGTTTTCCTTTGACTTGCGGTGTTTGCTCTTTTGGTTCCCCATTTCCAAATCAAGCCATACAATTATTCCGGCTTGTGGCGGCTGTTCTAAGACACGCTGGCCTGTCTAAAACATGAGCCACTTGGGTGCTTTCCCAACCAACTATTTCCCACCGAACATTTTTTGCCAGAAAACATATGTGTACATATGCATATTTATATTTATATATATGTATATCGTATATATATATATATATATACACATATATATGTATATATACACTGTATATATGCGTGCCGTTTCTCGAGTGTACCTTTGGCGTTTCCAGGTGTTAGTTGGAGACCTGCCCGGGGGCGAACGGGCGAGGGGAATGGGCACAATCCTGCAGCAGTGGGTGGCTTATCCCACTATTCAAAGGGCTTTTGTCCATCCCAACTGGTGGATGTGGTCCAACTGCAGGGAGCTGTGGTTTTCCAGGGCTCAAATTGGCAACCAAAGGGTTCAACTGGTGGATTTCTTCCAACCAGAGGGAGCTGTGGTTCTCCAGGGTTCAAACTCGCGTGGCAACCGCATGGTTTTGGACCGCCTCGCCTGAGGTCCACGGAGCAATTCGCGGAGTACGTGGTCACCCTGCAGGACCTGGGCAAGAAGGGCGGGGAGTACGGCCTCAAGGCGGGCAGGGAACGCAAGCGGGGAGAATGCAAGCAGTTTGGCTCTGGACTCCCCTTTTTCTCACTCTTGGGCTTAACACACAATCAAATCTGGAGTTTTCTCAGACGACCCTTTGGGTTTGGCGACTTCTTTTTGTTCGCTCAGGTATGGCTCAAAATCTAAGGCTCAGGGGGTGAGCTGCGTCCGACAATTGGTCAAAGTGTCCTGGACAAAGTCAGCAAAGGGACGGCAAAGGCCCATTCTGGTGGACTTCATTCGTCATTTCGCCGGGGGATTCACGTCAAGCAACCATTGGGAGGTTCCCCATTCATGCCAGGTCAGGCATGACCATCGCTCGAGTCGCAAGGCTTACAACTTCGCTGCCAAGAAGAGCAAGGAGCTCCTTTGAGTTTCGCGGCCTGAGGGTGACTGCCACGGGCCCCGCGCGGCGAATTCAATCTGGGCCCCTTCGCTTCATCCGGCCCGTTTTGGGGGTCGCGTGGTCGCGTATGGGCCGGGCGGAAGGAAGGCGGAAGGTTCGGTTCGGAAACAGTGGCATTGCACTGAGACGCGCCACCTGGCACAGGACAGCCTTTTTAAGGGGAGCTCGATTTCACCATATCCAGGCGGGAAAAAAGGAAGGTTTGCCCGCAGCTCCTTAGCTCATGCCACGCATTTGGCAACCGATTAGATTAAAGGGTCATTTTGTTTTGGTTAAACCAAAAGCCAACCACACGCGACGAGTTGAGCCTTTCTGTTGGCAGTTTTAGTTGTTTTTTGGGTCCTGACAACAGTCAAAGGATCAGTCAGCATGCCAATGCTCTGCATCACCAACAGTCAGATCGTCATCATAGCCGTCGCCCATCCTCGTCATCATCACCATTATCATCATCGATGATAACATCATCCTGCATCCTCTGCATCACCAACAGTCATGATGATAATGATGACTACGCACCCTCTGCATCTCCAATCGGCTCTAATCATGGCCGTCGATCATCGTGCATCCTCTGCATCACCAACAGTCATGATGATAACGATGACTACGCACCCTCTGCATCTCATCATCATGATAATCATGTCCACGCATCTTTTGCATCACCAATGGGCTCTAACGCCACACTTGAAATGCTCTTGATAATCATGTCCACGCATGATGATGATGATGATGATGATGATGGTGGTGCTGATGATGATGATGATGATAATGATAAGGATCGTCATCATGGCCGTCGCCCATCATCCTCTGCATCACCAACAGCCATGATGATAATGATGATTACGCATCCTCTGCATCTCCAATCGGCTCTAATCATGGCCGTCGCCCATCATTCATCATCACCGTTATCATCATCGATGATAACCATCATCGTGCATCCTCTGCATCACCAACAGTCATGATGATAACGATGACTACGCACCCTCTGCATCTCCAATCTCATCATCATGATAATCATGTCCACGCATCTTTTGCATCACCAATGGGCTCTAACGCCACAAATGATTCGAGAAAAAGATTGCAGATGATGATGATGATGATGATGATGATGATGATGATGATGATGATGATGATAACTATCATCGTAGCATCCTCTGCATCTCCAATGGTGATGATAACTATCATCGTGGCAACGCATCCGCAGCACCCTTCCTGTGCGCCTCCCCCTTTCAGGAGCAGGGGTCGGCGGATATATAGACACATGACATGCCTGTACCGACAAGTAGCCGTACAGAAGGTTTATGCACTTGCTTCTCCATGAGCCACAAAAGGGGATGAGACCGTGCGGCTGTGTAAGGGTTTGTTACGTGGCACGGAACTGAGCGCGCTGCCCTCACCGCTGCGCTGCGGCGCCCCACGTCCAGTTTGCTTGGATTCCCCTCATGGCGACCTCGTTTTACTGTTCTTGGCATATTTTGTTTACTCCTTTTTTTGTTTTGGTTCGTTTGGGTGTGAGTGCCCCCAAACTCGAAAACATCCAAGAGCCACCCGCGAGCTGCGGGTTTCCTGTCTGCTTCCATGATTGGAATGGTAAAATTCGCAACCAGACGTCTCCAGAAGTCTCCGAATCGCTTGGGAATAGGGATCATCCCCCACTTGCCAACCACAGCAGGTCACCAGCCACTCGCAAGTTGCTTGTGGCAGGCTTTTTTACGGGTCTTTCCCTCGTCTCGAGCGCCAAAACCGGTGCTTCCCCCCGTCCGGCGCCGGAGCTCCGAGGCCCGGGCTTGGGGTTGGTGGGCCTGGGGCAGCTGCTGAACTCGGCCACCTTCAAGGCGATCGGCGCCAAGGGGGCCGGGCGCCCCAAGTTGGCGGGGGTTTGGGGGGGTTTTGGGGGGGTGGTTTGGTTGGTTTGGCTGGTTGGTTTGGTTGGTTGGGTTGGTTGGTTTGGTTGGTTTGGCTGGTTTGGTTGGTTTGGTTGGTTTGGTTGGTTGGTTGGTTTGGTTGAGTGGGTGGGTGGGTGGGTGGGGGGTGGGGTGGGTGGGTGGGTGGGTGGGTGGGAGAAAGGAATCAGCGGTTGATCCTTTTTTGGAGGGCGCTCAGAGGGAAAGAGCCACCCAGTTAGTTGGGTATCTTGGAAACAGAGGCGGAGGCCTCAAGTTTTGGTTTTGGTTGTTCCCTGTTCAAATCAACTGGGGCGCGCCAAAGCACAGAAACACGAGCTAAGTTTCAACTAATGATTTCTGACCGGTCAAGAAACGGGGCTATGAGTTTCAGCAAAGAACCACCTCAAACAAGTTGTTGGGCATGAGTATCCTGAAAAATTAGAGCGGTCAATATTGGACGCTGGCAAGCTTTGTGTTATTGCAAACTTGATTGGGTGTGATAATTGACAGTCCCACGCCTGCCCCACGCACTGCGCTTGTTTATTCGGCCCACAGTTCACCGGATAGGGTCTTTGGAAAAAAAGAACACCTAAACATCAACTCTTGTCTGCCTGAAGTATAGATATATCACGAGAACGGAGAGCTACCATGCATCAACTTCGATGTGTAGGCAGATGCATATGGGTATGCGCAAAGTTTGGGCCCTTCTTCGTAGTTTGCGGTTTCAAGGCAACCAACCTACAAGACGCTTTCCCAGGGCTGTGGACAGGATTTGTGCGCGTTTCGAGCGTTGCAGCTTCCAGTACAGGGGAGAAACAGGAAGGGCTCCGCTTTGCTATGTTCGACCCTTTCAGGTTGTATAGATGGGAAGACGGGGGCTTCGCTTCCTTGTGACAATGGCTGCAGCATACTTGCTAAGTGGGTGGAACATCCAAGTGAACGTCAAAACTGGCAATACACACACACACACACGGCGCTTACAACTGGTTGTGTCTTGCAGGGCTTTCTTCCATTATGAGCAAAGATACCTGGAGCAGCTTTGCCCTCCACGAGCAAAATGGAACCTGAAAGAGGGTACCTTGAAAGGAAAGATGTCGTCTACGAAGCCCAGCGCCTTGTCCCGGGTGCATAGCCCTCACGGTGTGCCAAGTGATAACATGCCCGTGGCGGATCCCACGAAGCCGAGAATCGAAACGATTGGGACACGCGAGCCGCCCATGTGGAAAAGAACCCAATGGAGGGAGGTGTTTTGGTGGCCAAGGTCGGCTGAGGCGTGAACTTTGGGGGCCCCCACGAAGTCGGTTCGAAGGGGCAGCACTCACAACACAGAATACGTAGGCAAGTCATAATCTGCTCACCAGGTAGCACAAGCTCACCCAGAAAGGTCCCTTGCAGGGGATTCCTTCTTTCCCAGATCTGGGGTCCGTTTGAAAGGGTCAGTCCAAATCAGAGGCCCACGCATCGATGTGCCTCGGAGTTCCAAGGTCTACTATGGCGCCCAGCTGGGATATGACGTGCGCTGTGCTCAACTGCGAAGCTTCTGGATTTTTTTATTTTTGGACCCGTTTTTTGGGGGCCCGGGGTGGTTCTAAGGGGAATCTACAAGGACACCACTCATTCTTCTGTTGCCCCTGCTTGGAAACCCATCTTTGGTGTTGGGGCCGAATTACATGGGCATTGGTCTTGTTGATTCGCATCTAGCTGGGTGCTTACCAATGTTGTGGATCTTTCCAATTCATGGTTTTGGACAATTGCAACAGCCTTCCAAAAGGAGATTCCGATCTGTCTTCCCATTCTGAATGCTCCTTGGAATTTTGGGTTGGGGATTTGTCTTTACTCTTCACCCAACCCAGACCATGAGTTCCCCCTGGAAACTGGCAACTGGATGGATCCCAAATGGAGTGACGGCATACGGCGGACGCCACTCCCTCCAGCCGTGGAAGTGAACAGAGGGTTTTGGGAAGACTCCAGCTTCACATGGCCTTCGCTCGAAGTCCATGATTGTTGCGAAAAGGAACACAAGCAGTGATGAGACCTTTGACCAAGACCATGAATATGGCATGTGGGTCGGACAGGAGCTATGGTTCCACACTTGTGAACATGGGACATGAGCTGTGCCACCTTTTGTGTAGGAAGCTGTCCCTGGTTGTTATTTATTGGTGGTTCCTGATGTTCCACCAAGTCACCATGGTACCTCCTTAGGGTTCCTGATGTTCCAAGTCGCGAGTGGTTCATTTCGGACCCCCCAAAATTGTGCCAAGTCACCCGCGCTGAGTTTTCTAAACGCTCCGAGTTGAGGCCCTGGGCCACCGGCTTCCCCTACAACCTGGGCATCGGCGATCCGCAGCCCCGGGGCCCAGAATGGGCGGGTGGCCTGAGGGATGCCTGGGCTGGCGGCCGGAAAACTCGGCCGAAGCGCGGTGGTGGCGCAAAATTCCCTTTGAGGGCCCCAAAATGACCAGGCATAGCTTTTCTCATTTGGTGAAAGTCATCAGTTTTTTCGTGGTTTCCCGAATGGTCACCCCAAAGGAGCTTTTGGTAAAACCCCCAGTTGACAGGCAGAAAAGAAAACGCCAGTGTTTTGTAGCGGGGTGTGATCATTTTACCCTCCCAAGGGATCCTCCCAAGGGTGCCGAAGGGCGCTCGCAGGGACCAAACCCGACACGAGCGGAGCCCATGGACCTGCGGAGTTGCGGAGTTGTCGATGTGACCAGCTTGGCTGGGTCATTGGTGGAACGGTCAAGTGGAATTAATGGTTGATTTCGCAAAGAGTCAGGTCATTTAGCTTGAATCTGCAATCCGAGAACTGCATTGGTCATGTTTTTCCTTTCTCCTGATGGATCCTTTGCGCCCCTCACTCAGTTTTTCCTAAAATCCACTCCCCTTTTGTCAGATCTGCGGAGCCAGTCGCCTCTGAGGTATTGGGGCGTCATCTTCTCTGCCGCTGCCCCAAGGGCGACATCAATGGCATGGGGGGCAAAGGTCAGGCACTGTGGTGTTGCCTGACCTGCTTCTTGCTGTTTTTTTGCATTTCTTTTGGGCAGATTGGCGTGCGGGCACTTCTTGCACAGGGGTGCTTAGTTGTCAGACTTAGCGATGGAAGCTGCCTGCAAGTTCCCCTGGTAACACATTTGCCCCATTCCCCTCAGATTCTGCTTGCGCAGGGCTTCCAGCAAAAGCTAATTCTCTTGGACTTCTTCAGAGTTTGCATGGGCTGTTCTAAAACAAACACGCCGTATATATATATATATATATGGAAATCCGAGTGTTTGCCTTGCCCAAGTCGCCAAAAATCGGCTCCACAAATCTGAGAAGCCTTGCCCAAAGCTCCGCTTCAACCGAAAACCGCCGCGAACTCCGCCGAAATCCTTCGGTTAAACAACTCCTTGAGGTCTGGGGCTTCTACCTCTGCCTGGCCGGGGAGCGCAACTTGTTGGCGCCCCACTTCCTGGTGCCGTGGCTGGAGACCTTTTGGTACGCCCGGAGGCCCTGACGCCGTGATGGGAACAGGAGGCAGAGACCGGTGGGTCAGGGAAAAGGGGGGGAAGGTGGCCCGGTTTGGTGGGAATCCATATAGAACGCAGACCTTCTGGTGTCTTGGATTTCGGGGTAAACTGGTAAGAATCTGCATTTGTTTTGCCGAGCTTTTTCTTTTGTGGGGGTAGAATGAACTGAAAGTGACGGTAATGACTTTACTTGGGACTCTTGCAGGTAAGGGCGCCTTCTTGTTCCGCTCCCCAGTGGGTTCCACTCAGAACTCGGGGACCTGTCTTGCCCGTGCCGAGATCATGTCCATGAAGCTCCTGGAGCACTCGGCCCGGAGCTCGGACCTAGTCCTGGGAGACTCTGGCCAAGTGGGTTACCTGGGTTGGGAATCGCCCGAGCAAACTCTTTTTTTTTGGACTCTGCTTTGGGCTGGGCCCTTTTTTTTGGGCTGTTCCATGTGAATGCTGAGTGTTGACTTTGAAGATCGTAGACGGGGAACTGGCTTCAAAGTAGAGATTTTGGTCGTCCGCAATCCGGAGTCAACCATATCCAGGTGCCGGTGTCTAAGCTTTTTCTTTTCCAGAGACAGGGCAATGGTCCGTGATTTAGAAGGATCGTGTGGCTTCGTTCTGTCCGAGGCGAAGTCCAGCGGCTCAATGCTTTTGGAAAAGCTAAGAAGTTGAATGATGAAATGTGTCACTGTTTGGAGTGACAATCGCTCAAACTTGAGGGGAAAATATGGGCTGGGGTGGGGTCATATTCATCAAACATGAGTTGGTATTAAGTCGAATTGGAAATTGGTGAACATTAGTGAGATGGGGATGCATTTCCAGCAACCACTTTTGAGGGGTTCCCCATTAGAATCCGCACCCCCAAAAAAGGTGGCATCGAATGAATTCGGCACATTTCCTGTGGGGAGCGTCCAAGAACAGCGCTTTTTCTTCACGACACTCCAAAGCCGCAGCTTCCACAAAGCTTAGTGGCTCAAAATCGACTAGCTGGGGTTACACAGGTTTTAGTCTTGGGTTCCATGTACCATGGTGCTATTTGTCTACACGTTATTGAGCCACAGCCAAATGGAGCGGTTTGTTTCCTTTTCGTTTGTTCGCTTTTCGTTCCACAGCCGAGTGTTGAACCTTTTTCAGCCCGAATCGAATCGAATCGAAGCGTTCGCTTCGGCAGGGCAACGGGGGCCGGATTTTGAAGGCCCTCGGCTTCAAGAAGGCTTGCGGAAAGTCTCGTGCCGGTGCGGTAGGTCAAGCGGCGGAAATCCAAGGGCTTCTTGGGTTTCCTGTTTCGGTTGTTTCAGACGCAGTATTCGTTGTCGGCCAAGTTTCGAGGTGCATTTCCAGTAGGAGGTTTAAGTGGGGAGGCCTGTCGGCCGCGCCTGTCACCCAAAAACGTCTTTCTGCGCTCGATTTGGGCGTAAGTCTGGGAACCACAGTCGGTCTCTCCGCAGGACAAGTGACTGGCGTCGGGAGAAGCCGCGGAACTGACGCGGAGCCGGCGCGTGAGTGCTGCATCTCCCTATCATACGGGCGGGGTATGAAGCCAGTTGCTTTAAATCATGCTGGGAAACGATATGGCGGCCGTGGGGGTTTATGAAACGGCGAGCTCGCTTACATTGGGACAGGAAGGATGTCATTTGTTGTGCGTTTCCTTTTTGTTGTGTACGTGTGATAGTTACCCTACTGCTTTCTTTGCTGGCAGGGGTGAGGCGAGGTGTATGGCAGCCAAGTGTGTGTCAAACCAGCAAATGGCGAGTTTCATGTCGGTCCATCTTTTGCAGTGCCCCGACATTGTCAGACTACTCATCCACAGCGGTTCCGCCCTCCTCCTCTTCTCTAGGGGGATGTGGCTCAAGAGCTCAAGCTGGGCTAAAGAGCCCAATCGGCACGCAATTTTCGAGGTTTTCATTGGAGCCCAGGGAAACTTTTCCTGGCCTGTTCAGGCTATTCAGAACTGGAATTTCCAGCCAACGCCACTTTATGAAATTCGAAGAGTTGATTCCCCCGCCCTTTTCAGGCATCGTTGTTTCTGCGACAAGCCAGACGCGACGCATTCCCTGGGGTGCCATTCTGTGAACAAACACAGAGGAAGCACAAGGAGGGTACACCCAGGGTGGAATAATACAAAAAACACCAACAACCAAATTGTTGCCGACCAGGTGGACCCATATTATCATGGAGAAAAGGGCACCTGATATGGACAATCGGCAATTTGGAGGGGTCGCTGTTTGGCCTAAATCCCCAAGGGAATGATGTCAAATGCTTAAGCTTTTCCTTTCGCGAGACAGGCAAATGCTGGTGAACGTGAGTTGAAGCGGATGTGGGCTAAACAAGCGAGGCCTTGCGGGAGCACTAGGAGGGCAAGTCAACCACAGGGCAAATAGCTGAAGGAAACAAGTAAGGAAGTGCAAGGTTTCATCTTGCCTATGTTTGATGGCGGCCAAACAACTCCTGCCCGTGACATTTGTATTTGACTGCCATCTGGCCGTATGCAAGATTTGGGACAAACTCATGTTGCGAGATTGCTGCCTTTTCCGCTGCATTTGCATGATCTCGGCAGCCTTTGAGAGCTGTCTGAAGTGATTCGAGATGGCGTGTCGCCTGCGCAAACCGTTTGTTTTGCACTTGGCTCGAGGAGCTTAGTGTTAGCAGCACAGCCTCAGCGAACCACGATACATGAACATCGCAAACGCCACTACGAGTATGCGCGCCGCAAGAATATGGCTGGCGTGCAAGACACCTGTTGCTTTCTGGATCATTCAGGATCATGCTTGCTTTCCCCCTATTTTGTTCTTCACCCTTTTTGCTTTTTCATTCTGGCACTTGTCCTGAGCCACGTTTAGAGGAAAGGCAGCCCTTGGTGAACCAAGACTCGCCACGTGACATCGAAACCGGCAGATTGCAGATCGGGTTATGGACAGATGGAGGCTGATGCTGAGAGGCGGACGGGGGCAGTTTTGAGATGGCCGCTTAAGGGAAGCCACTTCTAGGTCTTGTAGTGCCCTTTCTCACCCTTTTTTTGGGGGAGGGTTCCCCTACTAAAATAGACTACATACATATTTATTTATTTTTTTTTTAAAAAAAAAAAAAAAAAATATATCGGGTACCAACTTATTCTAACCTCCTACTGGAGGACCTAGAGGCTGTTTAAACAATGGTTTCAACACGTTTGAAAGGGGTTGGCCCAACCCTGCTTGGCTCTGTTGAGACACCCAGCCGCGGTTCTTTTGAAGCGGAATCAAGCCACGGGACCTGCCCCAACTCCATGGTGAAGAATCAAACGGATGGATGGCCACTTTTCTAATGGCACGGGCAGCACTTCGCGATCAGTTTGAGCTCTGACTCAAGCTCTGCCCATCTGATGCGTGACGCGGATGAACGACACGAGCGCCCACCGAGTCTCGCCTTTCGTATGATAAGGGTCGGTCTTTTTTGGAGGGGATCCCCTTTCGGCCAGTGTAACGTATTTTGAGACAACCCCCAAAACCGGGGTATCCCTATGACTAGCTGTCATGGAGTCCTTACAAAAAATGGGGAGTTCCGCAAGCAATATCCTGAGTGCCTGCTCTCGCTATGAAACTGGGAGGTGTTGCCTGCTGAATCTATGCCCCAACAGAATAACCGAGATTGGGCCGCACGGCTGACCAGACTCGGTACACTCGTTTGCCCCTGGAGTTTTGAGAGCCGATTCTGCGGACTGGGCCTTGTCGTTTTTGCTTTCTTGAAGATTTCGATGGACATAGTTTTGGATGAAATCCCCGGATCACTTTTGGAATTTGCCCAATGCATTCGCCAGGTTGATTACTGAATCCGTCGGAGGGCGGTCCAAATTGGGCAGGTACTCAGTAGGGCAAGACCCCCTGCGTGTGGATTTTGGATGATGACATGGACGAAATGATTTACTTTGTGAATTTTTCCCCCAGGGAGTTTCGACTTTAAGCAATCACATGTGCAGCCACATTGTGTCTTGGCTGGTCTTTGGTGTGACCTGACCTCAGCCCACCAAAGGATAGACCACCTGTTCGTGGGGAAAGAGGTTTCGCCTGGTGTTTTGAAAGCCCAAGCCTTGGAAAATGGAGTCACATAGGTTTGTGTCTGAAACGGGCAGTCTTCCAGCGGGTTTTCCCGGGCGGAATGATTCCCAGGCTGCAGCTGATCTACGAGAACATCTTGGGCTTGGCCACCGCTGGGGTGGCGCGGGAGCTCAGCGACGGGAGGTCGGCTCAAGAGGCGCTGTGTTGAAACCAAGGACCGAGGACACGCACATTACAGCTGGGCAAGATATGAGCAACTGCCAGAATTGGCAGCGCTCTACTCTTGGCTGGGGAAGGGCATGTGTTGTTCCGGAATGATTGGGTCCGGGACTCGCTTTTTTTAAAGGCGTGTCTGTTGTTTCCTGTCGGGGGAGACTTTCATTTTGAGTTGGCTAGAGTACTCAATAGAAAGAGGAGGTTCGGAAGCACGGTTGTCTATGGCTTCCCCGTGTTCGGAAGAGGCTTCTCTTCGGGGATATAGTTTTAGGTGTAAATGCTGCCCTCTATGCTTTCCGCACACCAAGGGCGAACCTTCCGAGAAAGAAAACAACACCACTTCTTTTCAGCCAACACACAGCAGCTTGGAAAGCATGTGACTCCTTGCAATCTTTGAGGTGAGCCCAGCGAAATGATTGGTTGTTTCCATCGTCCTTTGTCACCTTTGAAGGGAAGTGAGGACACCACACCCCCCCACAATTCCATGTTTGGGGGTCCCCTTTGGGAGCGACGTGGAAGCTGAGTTCCCCACTCGACCCCAGCCCCAATTTCGCCGAGCGTCAGACTTACACGTGTTTGGGTGACATCGGCTCTGAATGATAATGGGAACCCCCCCCTCTTGCGGCCGCAGGGTCCAAACTCTTCATACAACTAGGGCCCGACTGGATTCGGCATTGGTTGATTGGAGCCAAACTGAAGCCATCGCAGGTGACGGTGCTCCCCAGTGCGGAGGAGTTGTCTGAGGGCCTCTCGCACCTGAGCAGGGGCCACAGAATTGGGCCATCTTCCAGGAAGTTCCAAGTCCGCGTGAACAGATGGAACCCTGTGGGCTGCTCAATCCAGATCCTTAGGATTTCCCTTTCAGCGGGGCTAAAGGCTTGGGAGCCCGACCTTTTGAACCGCCCATAAATCCGGACCCCTGCAACGTGTCCCGGTGGCTTTCCGGAAGGGTGAGGCAGTTCTCGGATCCAAATGAAGCATTGGCCCCCTTAAAAAAACACAAGCTAAATGAGATGAGTTGATGCTTGAAGAGCCATCAGAAGGAGCTAGCTTGTGACCGCGCCCGATTGTGTGCCCACTCGCCTGTTGCAGATGACGCGGGTGATGCGCCCTGCATCCGCGGCACTTTCTGGGCGGTGCTGGTGATGCTGAAGATGCTGTTTGGTGATGCCAGGGATGCTGATGGTGATGCTCATCTCTTGCTTTTCCTCTACTTTGCCTTGCCTTCCCTTTTCTTTCCCTTGCTTTCAATTGCTTCCCCTCTACTTTGCACCCATGCAGATCAGGGCAGGCGCTTTCCGATGTTGCCCTGCTGATTTACTAAAACGAAACCGGAGCTTGGCCCCCCGGTTTCGTTTTCACTGATGTTTGAGAACGGTCGAAGCACATCGGAAACGAAGCCTCTGGTTTCTGCAACAAGCACAATAAGACTCATTTCTTGGATTCGCAGGGAACTCTTTCTTTGGGGTGGATTCCCCCAGCCAATTGTACATGTTGCTTGGCGGGCTGTTTTTCTCCCGCGAGCCCGAGGAACGTATGGGGCCTTGGTGGAATGTGTTGAACCACCCTTGATCTGAGAACTCAGAGTTTGTGAATGCGAAATGGGAGATGGGAGCCTTCCTCGTATTTTGTAACGCGTCACACCTTTCCAATTCCCCGTAAGTGCTGGTTTGGGGGACTTTTGGGGTAGCTGGAGTTTTGAAGACCCTGTGGAAATGAGGGTCAGAAGGAGATCTTGGTGGATTGGCATAGGGTGGATCTCACTCATGACTGAGCTCCCTGTTGGCCAACAGACCAAAGCCCAGTTGTTCCGTGGTCGTTTGGTGGCTTCCCATCCCAACATGGATCCTGTTTGTAGCTGCCTTTTCGCCCTTTTTGCTTCCGGAACTTTCAGATGGTCAACCCCAAACAGTTCCAATTTCTTTCCCATTCGGTTCTCATGTTCAACGTTCGCCAGTAGTGGCCTTTTACCCTTATTCGGGGGAGGGTTCCCCGGCTAAAATAGTCTACAAAAAAAACAAAACAAGTACCCTTATTAACTGGAGGACCTCGGATTGTTTCTGGCTGGTTGAAAAAAACGCTTCGCGTTGGATTTTTGCAACCCCCGAGGCCTGAGCCTCCACAGCGACACGGAGCTCTCCGCGTGTTTGTGGCTCTTGGAGGCGGCCTTACAAGGCCCGAGCGAGCGCCGGGTCTCGGGACTTGTTCGAAGCTTGGGATTTGTGGTCTCGGCTTGTTGGCTTGTTGGATTGTTGTAGACTATCGTGGTTCTTGCAACTTGTACAAAACGTGTTTTTCCCGAACCAAACCAACAAAAACGGAGGATTTCTTCAGGGGAGATCTGTGCCCCTAGAGTTTTTTTTCCCCGACACAGAATTGCGGAGGGTTCTTCAAACAAAGATCTGTGCCACCCATCTTCCAGGTTTTTCGGGCCTGTGCCTTGCCTTTGAAGGGTTGGTCAGGGGAGATCTGTGCCCCGAGTTTTTTCCAGGCCTGTTGCCGTTTTGGCCTGGCAACCGCCAGGCGCCGCCCCGAGCTACGAGTCCTTCCTGGCACAGGCGGAGGCCAGCGTCGGGGCGCCGTCCACGCCCTCAGCCGGGGCCCTAAGAGCCGAGGCTTGGACGCGGGAAAGAGCCGAAGCTCCTGCGAGGGTTCTGCTTTGCCAGGAGTCGGAGTTAAGAGCCATCAAAATCCGGGGTAGATGAAGGTCGGCGAGCAGGCCGAACTAGAAATAGGTGCCACACTTCCTGAGTTCATGAACGTTGAACCTTTTGGGAAGACCATTTTAGTGGTATATATGAAGTTTGGACTTTTTTTGGGCCATCCACTCAGCCAGGGAGCTACATAGTTTTCAAGAAGGGAGGCCTATACAAAGGTTGCTTTCCTATTCGGAGACACGGGCACGAAGTTCAGGACATTGTATTGGGTAGGCGGGGTTGCACTTATGAACATGCAAACAGCGACTGCTGGTAAAAAAAAGGGCCCTGCTCTTCTTTGAAACAGGGGTTCGATCAAACAGGTTTGGGGGCTCAGGAAAGCGAATGGAACGCCTTTGTTGGGGCACTTTTGTAGGGGTGTTTTTTGTTTTGTTTTTTTGTTAAACAGGGACTGTCATCCTATTTTGCGCGCTTTGTAAGACGCTTTTTTCCTACCGGGAGAACCCGCTTCAACCAAACTGTGGCTGATGCAACCCCACACCCAGTACACGGGGCAAGCAGAAGAAGCCTCGCCCATGCAGCGTTCTTGAGCACATCGCCTGTCACACTTCTTTGTTGAGGGTCGCAGCTCCTTGCCCCTGTCGTGCGTCTTGGGGTGCTGAACACCTATCCGATCTCGCAGTATTGGGGCGCTGAAACTTACGGGTTCCCTCCTAACATGAGAACCTGACGGGCTTCTTGGAAGAGTGAGGAGGATGTCTCTTCTTTTAGGTGGTTACCCCTTTTTGGGGGTTGTGTTTAAAGAGGAACACCACAACATTTATGTGTGTCCTCTATTTTAAAGGGAAGCCACCATTTTTAAAAGGGTGTGTTTTAAAGGGAAGCCAGCATTTATGCGGATCCCCTATAAAACACACCCAGCTTCGGCTAAGCCGCGTTCCGTGTCAGGCCAACTCCCTGGCCCTGTCCTGCGCAAGCGGGTCGCCGCGGGGTTCCCCTCCGCGGCTCCCGGCGTTGAAGCTGCCCCCAGGCGGGACGGTGTCGAAGACACGGCCCCCTTGCGGTCGGCCGGGATCGGGACCCCCCTCCCACCAGCGCGGAATCCGTTCAGCTTTCGGAGCCTGGGAATTTGCTTGGTTTCCAGAGGAAAGGGGATGTGCTGGTGGAAGGCCGAAGTGAGGATCGCGGGTCGGGCGGTCTAGCCATGCGGGGCGAGTGTGGCAGTTCCACCCCAAGCCGCCAAGCCAAGTGCCTCATCAACCCCAGGCCCCGATCCCCAGCCAGCCACCTTCTCAATTTTCCCCACTCCTCCATCCCGGTTCCCCGCGAGCAAGCACTTTAGCTCGTGGTCACCATGCTTGCTCTCACCTACCTTGGCGCAGCCGTGGCTTGGAGCCTTGAGCTGTGCTGCAAATGTGGCCCGCGCACCTTACCAAAGGGAGCGGGTTCTCCGAGAGCTGAAAGGCAAAGCGCAGCAAGCGTAGTTTGGTGCGTGTTTTCGGGAGAAGGACATGGGCCGATTCACCATTTCAATACCTCTACCGCACTCTTGCCGCCGAAGCAGCTACCCTGACGCCACTCGGACTGAAGGTTGAATCTGCGTGTGTTTTTGTCCAGCCGCTTGCGGCCCTGTTTGTCGCGGCGGCTTTTTTCAGCTGGGAAAACGCACTTGCTCCTTGTGTACTTAGTTAGCTTAGTCATTTCACGACACACATCTCATGGCAGCAGCATCATACATGTCAATTCTAGGGGTGTACATGATCATTTTTATTGAGTCTCAACTTTGTTGTTTAAAGCTTGGCCGAACTGGCCACCATTCACCATGTATTTGCACAAACTGCTTTCAGAGTAAACTTTGGATTCAGCACAAACTTGATGTATTTCCCGTTGACTTTGTCAGCCGTCGGCTTTTGTTAGTTGCCAGGACGAACTTCTTCGTCCAAACCCATGTCCGGTCCATCTGCCGTGTGCCCGCGACCAGCGTCCGTGGCTGCCTCTCACACTCCTGCAACACGAACGCTATCATTGTTGTGCGTGGACTCTAGTGCACGTATGTTCATAGTGAGCGTTTCTCCCGGGACATGAATGCTATCACTGCTGTGCTCGATTGTGAGCTTACTTGGTGGAAATTGGAAGTCGTGGGAATTTGTTGCAGAAAACTGGCAGTCGCGCGAGTCGCGAGTGGCCGTCACCGCGGGGGGGGGGGGCGGGTGCTTATTTATTGCGTCTTTTTGGACTAAGATTCGCTTCGCTGGGGAGTTTTTTGAAGGGGACATACTTTAAGCTGTGTCAAACGCATTCCTGAATCCTCGTCCCGCTGTGAAGGAGAAAACAAAAGCGATCTGGGTTCAACTGCCGAACTCCCGGCCGCCGTGCGCCGCGTTTCGCGTTTCGCGTTTCGCGGAGGCAGCCTGGCGGGGCTCGAGCGGCTCTCCTTGGGCGCGCCCTCGCCGGCCAAGAGCTTCTTCTCCTCGGACGAGGCGCGGCCGCGCTTGGCCCAAAGACCAAAACTGAACCGCGCAAGTAGTTTTTTTTTTTTTTTACAAAACATATTATTCGCAGAAACCAGAGGCGGCAGCTGCCTCAGCATTGTGGTCCTGATAGCTCAGAGGCCAATTAGTTCTTCCCCAGCTAGCAGTCTGTGTCAATCCGCTGGGCTTGGCCCGGCCTTGCAAGTTCTGGACAGCTTCCGGAGAGCTTCCGCTTGTTCTCTTTGTTCTTTGGGGATTGACTTCAGCAGGAGCAAGAGGAAGAGCCAGAAGAGGAGGAGGACTTGCAGATGCCTGACCCGGACACCGTGCCCGGGAGCCTGGCGAGGGAGCAGCAACCCTCGAAACAGTCAGATTGAGGAGGCTCTGGGGCTCTTGAGGGGTACCCCCTTTGTGTGACCGGTTGGCCTTTGCTTCTCAAAAGCAAGGAATTTGTACAACCATTGATGGTTTGGGGACCACTTCAAGGAATTCCCAAATCTAAATGGGGCCTTTAGCCGAAGGGCTTTGATATCCCAGCCTTTAAACGTAAAAGGCTAAGGCTTTGAGTTGTTTCTCCGGACTTTCTTTGCGGAAGGAAACCACACGCACTCTCGATTAAAGCGACCCTCGAAACACAAGCAGGATTCCGAATTTGACAAACACGTCGTATACAATAGTATACAACTGCTCCAAATGTAAAAGCGGCTCCGCCATAACTTGAAACCCGAATCGAGTTAGTTTTTCTGGCAGTATCTCACTGTATGTTAGCTCAGCTTCCCTCCAATTGGTGGTTTGGATTGGTTTGGTGGTCAAACGGTTTCCCATTTTCGGGGTTCAAATCCCAGGTCCTACCAATCCAAACCGACAACTTGGCTCTTTTCCTTTGTTTGGGTAAGGGTTCCCCCTCCAAACTCAACCAACAAAAAATGTCGGCCGGGATGTGGGCTCCACTCACTCCAATTGGGGAATTGGGGTGGGGTCTTGAGCAATGTGGCGGAACCAACAACAAACCAGGTGCCCATGTTTTCCCAGTTGCCCAGTGGTGCCCTTTTTTCCCTGCTTTGGGGTTTCCGTTCCCCTTCAAAGTCCACCAACCAAAAAATAAAAGGGATGCCCATTTTTTCGTTTCCCATGGAAATCCACTGGGCGTCTGAGCTGGGCATCCAGCTCGCTGGTCTGAGGAAACTCGGCGGGCTCCGGGTTCCGCGAACAGCGCGGCGTGCCCCGCAGGTCCTTGCTGTCGGCGGCGCTGCAGCAGCTGGGCCGGCTGGGCGCGGAGGCGACTCCCCGTCCGTGTCGCTGGGGTTCCTGGCCCCCATGAAACTCAGTGGTTCCATCTCTTTTTCCCTTCTTTCCCTTTTTCCCCCTTTTCCCCTTTTTCCCCTTTTTCCTTTTTCCCCCTTTTCCTTTTTTGTTCTCCTTTTCTTGTCCCTTTTTGCCTTGGCACCCGTCCTTTTCCCTTTTTTTTGGTGGCCCCCACTAAATATGTTCCCCAAAAAGGGTTCCCTGTTTTTTTTTCGAGGGTCACTGAACAACTGAGTAAAAGAAAGGCAAGGAGCCAACTTGGAGGACAATCCTTAGGAAGATATTTTTTTGCTGAACCCCCCTTGTTTTAATGGTGGCTTGAAGCCCAGCAAGTGTGGAAGGTTGAAGAAGGATGCCTGGTAGCTGTTCAGCATGAATGGCCTGAGAGTAGCGGATGACTTCAAGGACCACCCAAGCAACCCTGCTTTCTGATGCGATTCCCCAACCTAAGTATCAAGAAATGTTATGGTTTCAACCATGGTTTCAAAGTGGTGCGAAATGGATTTCGTCCATCCACAGTCTCGCCGTAGATGACAGCAATATTGACCGTTGCTGCAATATTGACCGTTGCTCATGCGCTTTTCCTTTGTGAACCCTTTTATCTCCTGATGCTGGCACCCTTGGACAGACCTTGTTGATATTGATTGCAAACTTCACAAGGTGGACCCACGCTAGGAGTCAAGCAGCATGCGTCCCATTTGCATTGTTTGGGCTCCTGGACGATTTGTGGACAGCTTTGATATCCTTTTGCTTTGTCTTCTTCGGCGGGTTTTCGTGATTTGTTTTCGCATAGTAGCGTGCGTCCCATGGCAGCGAGGAGACGTGTGAACCCGACCGAGCGTGACATACCTGGGAGAACCTTCAAAGATAAAACCGGTACTTGGATTGTCGTCCTCCCCTTGACATGGACTGTTTGCCACAAACTTGACTGCTATTGGGTTGGATCTTTAGACTTGAACCTTTTGAGAAATCAAGGGGGTTCCACTAAACCACCAAAAAGTTGTGTATATATATATATATTTGCAGGGGGGTCAACAGCAACCAAGCAAAAGGGCCACGTTGACATATTCTGGCGACCTTCAAGACTCCTTGGCCCACGCGGATGGTTGTTCGCGAGGTGACGTCCAGAACTGGCCAGAAGATACACAGCTTTCTCCAGGACTGGGCAATGCTGCGAGTTTCACTGGGGCCTGACATGTGCGGGGGTCTCTAAAATTTGGCTGGACACACTGGCGGGGTCTCAAATACAAGGCATTTTGCCTTGTGGTCGGTTGCTTGCGTCCCTCGACCTAAGGCATTCTTCTTTCGGTAAAAGCGCAACTCAGCAAAGCCGCACGTTTTGACAGGCCCTTTGCAGATTCCGTCTTAATGGGGGCTAAGGCAGAGGCAAGCGTTGACCACGAAATCAACCTTTAAAGATCAATGGGGGGATCCCCACAAGAACATCATGGATTCACCATGAAAGGGCCTCCCCCCGGAAGCAACAATTCCGAGTCAGCATTTTGAGCAGTCAGCCGCCGCCTGTCTTCCCTGTGAATGGCTGGATGAAAACAGGCACCAAAGGAATTGGTCCAGTCATCAGGAAAGACACAGTGGGCTTGCAATGATGAACAGCTGTGTCACCAAAGGGGGTATGATTCACATTTGTTCTCGCTTCTGACGATGGCAGTTAAAAAGATTTCAAAGCTAGCCTCAGGGTTGAACCATGAGGAAGAAAAGCACCCTTCCTTAAAACATTTGACATGTTTTTTTCAATGAGTTTTCATCGTGCTGTTGTTCCTCACGGGCTTCAGCTCTGGTTTTGACCATTGGCTTTTTCCATGATTCAGAACTTGAGTCTGAGTGTTCAGGGAGTGGAGGGTAACATCATAGCTTTTTTGTTCGGATTCAACTGTGCTTTGCACGCCATCGCATGTGGTTCATCTTTACGAGTTCTTGCTTGACTCAGGTTCATCGCAACCTGGCTGTTCGGTTGGTGCGTCCCAAGCACGGGGACCGCTAAGCGCATCAAAGTAAAGGACAAGCTCCAAGCTGAGGATGGCCAACGCCCCATGTGCAGCGCCGGCCTTGGCCAATTTGGGCGCTCACGATGGAACCAGCTGACGCACACTGAAGTGCCTGTCAATGCTACGCAAGCTGATTGAAACTTAAGGAAAGCACATTGGTTGGACCCCGAATTAAATGAAGATTGCAGGTTGATTTGGTGGTGCCCAAAAGTGATAGATTTCGGATTCCTTCACCCAGCAAGGAATCAACCAGAAATTGATTAATTTTGGCGCCCCATTCATTGCATGGCAAATCACATGGCTGACAGTAGATTCTGCACGAGTGGTTGAATTTCATTTCAATCAAGATGATTGTGGGGACGGGCTGTTGGCGGATGAGCCTGTCAACGCAATTCTCCAAACCGGACCCTCTTTTGAAGCGCTTTCTGGGCTGCTAGCCCACGTTCTGCCGCAAAACTGGTGATGCGGCTGCCGCCAGTGTGGCATGTGTGGCGTTCGGAACCTATTTGAATCAAACTCGCTTGCGTGGAGACCACCAGGTGTTGATGCAACCACCGCACCTCAGCCCCCCCGCCCTGTGCGTCATTTCTTGTGCACCAGCGTGGACGGCAGGAAGTTCTGGAAAATGCCTTGCAGCAGGCTGAGGAGTGGTGTGTGTGTGTGTGTGTGTGTACGTCGTGACGTGTCGCGTCGTTTGGTGTTTGTTGTGTTGGGTTTTCTTTGCGTTTGCTTGCTTTGATGTTCTTCCCTTTGCTTTGCCTTGCCTTGCCTTGCCTTGCCTTGCCTTGCTTGCTTGCTTGCTTGCTCTCTTCTTTTTGCGTCGCTTGCTCGCTTGTTTGCTTGCTTGCTTGCTTGCCTGTTTGTTTGTTTGCCTGCTTGCCTGCTTGCTTGTTTGCTTGCTTGCTTGCTTGCTTGTTTGCTTGCTTGATTGCTTGCTTGCTTCTTTGTTTGTTTGTTTGTTTGTTTGTTTGTTTTGTTTAGTCACTCTGTTTGTTTCTTGGTTACTCGTTTGCTTTGATTGGTTGGTTGGTTGGTTGGTTGGTTGGTTGGTTGGTTGGTTGGCCTTCTTGCATACGTGTTGTGGGACGCAGGGTTTCCTGGGCACCCCCAGAGATACTTCTGCCCACCTTGAATGTGTGGCTTGAAAGGCAGGAAGTTACCTAGAACAAGAACCCGTTGAGAGAGAACAGCTGTTGCAATGTTGCTCCCTCATAGAATTCTGCCCACCCAGGCATCTGTTTGGGGAGTCGAGAAGGCTGCATTGAGTTTGGGGCCCTCTTCATATGACAGGCTGTATGAGCCACAGATAGTCAAGAGTTTTACGTGTCCTAGTCGGAGACGCAGATCGCCGTCAGCGATAAACCTTCTCTTGTGAACCTCTCTGTTTGGGCACCCCGCAACTTTTCTGCGGAGTACACCGAGGAAAACAACACATTCTGGGGCAAGGCACAGTTAACCAGGCGTTTCTTGGTCTGGTACAATTATTCCCTTTTGCAGGGGTCAGACTTCATGTGAAAGTAGAGTCAATTCAGGGGATGGGTTCGATTGCACGATGATTTTAAGTGTGGGTGTGTAGTTTCTTTCTAACTCTTTGTTGGAGCCTATTTAGGGTCAGATCAATTGCAGACAAACATATTGTGAGGGCTGAGCAGTGTGGCCACTCAACCAGGAAAGAGGGTGGTGATTGCACTAAACAGCAATGAGAACATGCATTGCATCGTAGCCATGCGATGGACAATTAGGAGATTGGACACGATTTGCTATAGTGCCAGCAGATGCAATCTGTTATTTTGCCCATTTTGAACAGCCGCTGGGAGGGGAAGGGTCGTTGTAGTTTCCAAATGAGCAACTGACAAGGGTTCCGTTTCAACTCCTCTCTAATGACAGGTTGTGAGCGGTGGGATTGTCACGGGGTTGTCCGTGTTGCGGGCCTTCAGGAGTTTCCTGCAGCGCACTTCCGTGTCATGAGGTTACCGCATGAGCAACTGAGTCACAATTGTAGATCTGTAATTATATGGGTTTGGGTAGGCCATTTCAGACCAGGTTTGATTGTGACTCAACTGACGAGACATGCCAGAAGCAGCCAGTAGTGGCAGGCTTATCAGATATCAGCGCCATCAGTGCAATTGGTACCTTTAGTGCCATGATTTGTGTGTGTGTTGTTTTTTTTTGGGGGGTGCGTTTTGCCGGGCTGCACCTGGTTTTCCCGTGCCCATAGCAGTCGGTGCATAATTACAATTCACCCCCTTTAAATTATAAAACCAGGGGAACTCTTGGACCAAGTTGGGGGAATATGCCCAATTTTCAGGGTTCCCTCCCATTCATGAGCATAGAACTCACCCGAGGGCCCCGCTTAAGGAACACTTATGTCTTCCAGATCAGCCAGGTTTCACGCGGAGGGTACCTGTTTGATACAGGTCCAGAGGAGTAGGATATGCCCTGGGCGCACGATGGTCATCCAGTTCTCTGTTGGCTCTTCGCTTCCCGACGGCATTGCTCGATTGTTTGTTTGAATTCCCCGAACTTGAGGGAAGCCCCTTCGCCCACGCAGACTTACTCCCCGATTGATATGGAACTGGAAAAGGGTCTCCAAAAAAAAATGAGGCGCCTCTAAGAATGAGGACTTTGTGGATTTTTCTTTCAAATTGTCCGCCAAAAAGAGAGAGAGAGAGGGAGAGAGAGAGAGAGGGAGGGATTCCTCCAGTTTCATGGGTCTGCTTTCGGGACCCGCCAGGACCTGGAGAGAGACCTCTCGAAGGCCCTGAGATGCGCCAAGAAGTCCAGGCGATGTGTCGGCTTTCCGGTTGGCCCAATGAGAAACCCGTCCCGTTCTTAGGGTGTTCCAACTCCAAAATGGTCTGAATCCCCCACTAAAAGGAGACAACCCCCGATCAAAATTAACTAGGGGTTTATGAATCCGGGGTTAACATTACACCCGCCTCGACCCAATACAAAAAGAAACAACGTAGGAGAACGACGGCCCCTTGCGGCAACAGGGCGTGGCCATCTCCAGGCGTGGCACACGCAGCCTGCCCCTCTTGCTGGCGTGCCTAGCGAGCAAGGGTAAGCCCGTAAGCCCCAAACCTTACAGCATTTGGCATCACTGGAGAGACTGGGGGACACAGGGAGACAATGCGATCCCGGAGCCAGCGTCACACTTTCTCATTCTTTAAGCCTCAAGTTCCAACCCCAATGCTTCGCCTCAAAAACAATGCGTCAAAACAAGATTTGGACCCGCCTCTTTCCCTGGAGAAGCAAGTCGCGTTGCTTTTGGCTTCACGTTGAGGTGAAAAGCTTGGCTTCAAAAAAGCAGCACGCCTGCCTATTGATGCCGCCTTGGAAACTCCAGGGGCCCAACTGGCCGGCGCGAGCTGCACCCAACAACCCATTTTTGGACTCTGAAAAAACTCAGTTCCGGTCCCAGTGTTTGGCGGAGTCCTTCCTTGTCCAGCTCGATTTCCCCTTTAGTGTCCTTTGGGGCAAAAAAGTATTGTCCCTGACCTGCGTTGATCTGTGTGCCATAGTGCCTTGGTTTGGATGGGGACACTTGCGACCCTTGGGGCTGGCAGGGTGCACCCCGGGATTTCGACCACTTGGATGGACAATCTGGGTGGTTTATCCCGCAGGGTCTCCATTCAGGGGACTAGGGCCATCTAAGGAGCCGGGTGACATCGGCACATCTCATGGAGAGCGCCTGCGGAATCCAAGTCGTGACAATGGGAAGTGGACCCCCGGAGATGGTTGGTTTCCTGGAAAGGGACAGACCCAAATCTGAGCCTCTCACCCTTCGGGACACAAATGCCAGGGAGTTGGTGCAGCAGAGTGGGGTGCCCTAGTGCCCCTGCAGCTGCCGCCTAGTGGACATAGAAATTTTATTCCAAGAAGGTCCTGAATTTACGGACCGCATCCTAACGGTGTGTGCAGAGAGTTGTCATTCCTTGTGGCCCAAAAGCATGAAGCCGAGCAGGTGGCTTCACCAGGTAAACGTCTCTTCGGCCGTCCTCGGAATACGGCCCAGTTTTTACGGACTGAGCCGCAAAGACCTGGTAGACAAGGGGAACCATTTGTTGGGGAGAAGCCGCCAAACAAAAAGGGAAGCAAGGTGCCATTGTTGATCTTGTTTCTATCATGTCTTCGAGTTGTGAATTGGTACTATGAGCTCGAAATGGCGGACCCTCCAAAGTGTGTCGCGGTCGCTTCTGTTTTTTTCTTCGAGCGACAACCTCAAAAAGAGTGCCAACACCAAACATCAACCCAACACTTTCTTTAATCGAATAAACTTTAAAGTGAAACCAACAGGAAATCCACCCCTATGGATGGGGGTCTCAATTGGATCGAGGCGCCTTTTTTTTGAGCCCCGGGCCCCCCTCGTGGTTTTCGGCTTCATTTGGCTGCGCAGCCAGTGCTCAGTGCTCAGTCCTTAGATCCAAGCCATGGCGCTGGGTGAGCCGGAGGCGCGGGGCGGAGCCCCCCATGAGTTGGGTCTAGCGCTCCTTGTGAGAAACCGACGACTTTTAAAGATGGGTCGGCGAGTCGGTTGTTAATTTTCCAGGGAGAGCCGCAGTTTGTTTGCTTCTCCCGTTTGAAGAATTGGCCAACCGAAGCCTCTGCTTGCTTTCCAGTCCCATGTCACAAGACTTTCGCCGGCAGGAGATCTTGCTCTACTACTCCGGCGGCGAGGAGCTGGAGCCCCCAAGGCGATCCCATTGGGAGATCCATGGGATTTGCCCTCGTTTCTTGTCGCGCGCCGATTCGGTGGATCTGTGACCGGATGGCCTTGGGACTTCTGGGAGACACATCGTGGCTTAGTGGGAAATTCTCGCTTAGCTGCTAAAATTTATTTTTTTGCTCCCCTTCCAACGTCAATCCAGACATGGTTTTGACATTGGTCAGATAAAAGGTCGAGTTCCACCTTGGTCTCCGGGAAGTACACCAAGGGCGACACATGAAGATGAAATGAGCTCGCCCAGGGCCTCTGGGATCCAAGTCGTTCGTCCATGTCAGGTTTTGGAATTGGCGAAGCCCATGATTTTGGGGTTGAGTCCAAATTCCGCACACCCCTGCTGTCAGAGGCTGATGGTCATTGTGAATACATGCACCCCCCCTTCAATTTGACTTGGGGATCTTATACCATCTTGTACCTGTCCCGCCCGAGCAAAATAAGCAAGATGTTGCAAGTTGGATGAAACATAATGTAGTTGCCAGCAGACCTGCGTCTTTTGCTTGTTCTTGGTCAACCGTTGCCAACAAGGGTTCACTTGTGGTTTGTATGGACTTGTTGAAGAAAACCAGACAGGTTGTTCGCGCTTCTTCGCTCAACAGGCCCATGCCACTGAACTCATCGGCTGGTTGACTTGTTTGCTTTGCGGTGCAAGCGCGCAGGCGGTACAAGCCAACCAAGATCCTCTACCAAGATGTGGCACGGCAAAACTTGAATGAGGTTTAGCTTCAGTCTGCCAAAGTTTGCTTGGTACCCTTCGCTAAAGTTATGGTGACAGCAAAGGATTGCATCTCCCATTGGGCGGCTTTGGGCTTGCCAGTCCGAAGGCTTTCGGCGAATGCCGGGACCCGGGCCTTGTCAAGCCTGTTGCGCGCTTTTGTGGTTTTGCCCCCATGACGCGCAAACTCCTCTGTTTGAGGGGTGGTAGGAGTTTCAGAAACGACCCGTTTCCCACAAGCTTTGTTCAAGCCTTCTGAGTTCGGAAAGAGATGTTGCCAATGTTCAGATGGCCTTTCGGAAGTTTACCGGCACGGACCCGCGAAACATATATGTCATGCCACAGAAAAACGGAGCTAGGCATCGCTATGCTCCGCCTGGTTTTCGGATTTGTTGTCGGAGCCCTTTCACGCATTGGTTGTGAACAAGGGATTTAGCGCCTCTTTCTGTGATGCCAAGTAAAAATCTTTCAAGTGACAAGGTCGTCATGGGGATGTCCCCTCGAAGATTACCGACCGCAAAGTTCTTGAGGCAGGGGGTGGGCGTTTGCTTGAGGCAGGGGATGGCGTCTTTGTGGTGACCCTGAACGACCCGAACCGACTGAACTGCATCAGCCTGAACATGACCCAGGAGGCGAGCGAGAGGGGGGGACTAGGATGAAGTTCAAAGGGTGAGGCAGGGGCCTCCAGTCCATGTGCAGTGCGGCTCACATTGGCCCTTCTTGGAAACTCTGTGTAGTCTTATTACGGTTGCTTGTATTCTTGTTTCATGGGGCTGTCAACCGATTTGGCACAACACCTGCCAAGGAGTGAAGCTCTCATCAAGCTGAAATGGATCGATTGACGGAAATGGGGTCCTTGGTGACAGCATGCATGTTGACCATGGCTCATATCCAGGTTCGCACTTATCTGATCCGATTTGACACTTATGCAACTTATGCATTGTCTTTTAGATAAACACATTGCAATTGATGTCCGGTTCCCACCCGACATCTGAGGTGACGCTTGTGCTTGCGCCTTGGCTGATCGCTTCATTTGATCCGAGCCGCGTGCTTGCGAGCCGTTGGAAAGCAAAGGGACCAGCCCGGGAGTGTCAAGTGGCACGGGGTGCGCATCGGCCCACCGTCTTAGACACCCAGCCGAGATGGCCCGGAAACGGTTCGCTCCGTTTTGGTTGTGCTTCAAATGCCTCCGGCTTAGGGTTCCTCAATTTTAGGATGGCGCTAAGGAGCACATCAAGCGCGATGAGCGCTGCAAGATCGTAGTGCGGTCGCCTCAGAGTCTCAACTGCTCAAGCGGACGCAGTCTTCTTCAAAATGCCAACCCCCTTTCGGACCATGGCCTGAAGAGGCGTCGTACCATGACACACCTTTGTTTGATCGCACGAGCTGGATGACACTTTTTTTGGCAACCACAACATGCCTTAGGCGATCGCTGTCTCCAACATGGTTCCACGCCACGGAATCAGTTTTTGTTTCAAAGTGACCATACTCATTAATACACAGAATAGAACGTAATGTGTATGTAGATATATAGTACCTGATATATGTATGCAACATCATGCAACCTGCCCTTCAACACCCACCTTTCAGCTTTCAGCCTGTGAGATAGAAGTTGGCTTACTTCAGACTCCGCAAGTTGAGTCTTTAACCTAGGCTGGAAAGCCATCAAAAGCTTTAAAGCGGCTGTACAGCACTTTTGGAGTGTTTGCGCAAATGCAGGGTAAGAAGCATGTTCAAATTTAGGGCTCTGGGAAAAGGGTGAAGTGACCCAATAGTACCGTAAATGCCAGCAAACGATATTGACGTCTTTTTGGATATGTATATATATATATATGTATGCATGTATATTATATGTATATATATATATTTATGCAAAGCCAGGATCTTGCAAATGCTGCAAAGACTGGCTTTGAACAATGCATTGTGCATATAGCTATGGATTTAAGCTGTGGCTCTTCTTTAGAATGGCTTCTCCCAATTTCAATGTGCTGCAGTCATGGCTCACGCGCTGCTTGGCTTTGAAGAAGCATTTCCTGAGAACCACTATTGCTATTACCACAAATCTTAGGCGGATTGTTCGCCGTGATCTTTGCGTCCAACTGCAATAATTTTTGTGCAGGGGGGGAAGACCAAGTCGGGCTAGGTAATTTCACAACCTGGTGGATTTTCGAGAATCCCTTGGCGTCAACTTGGTCTTCCAGCCCTGGCCTAGCCAAACGGACTGAAAGCGCTTTGTCAAGCGCTTTGTGGGAGGAAAGTGTGCAACCCCCCCTCCCCACAGAACAGCCCGCTGGCACATGTCGCATTTGGCACCGCCTTTGCTTTACAAGGAGGTTTGCCTTTGCCGGAGGTATGTGCGCGATCGCTCTCAGATAGCGCTGTTTGTTCTCTTGTGGTTCTAGCTATCATGAGTTGGGATGTTGACTCCGGTTGTAGACCGGTTTTTAGGTAGTGTAGTGGTAGGTTGCACACCCAACCTTCAACATACTACCGACCTTGCTGTAGGTGCATGAGTCATTTTTTAGTTTGGTATCTTGACCTCAACAATTTATATAACCGACAATGTGAAACTGAAACCTTTCAAGCACAAAGCATGCGCTTGGGTGTTTCATGTTGCACCTTCGAAAGAGGCTCCTCTCAAACCAATGACCAAACGACAAGGCTAGACTTGTGTTTTTGTTTTTTGCCAAATTCTCCGATGAAATCGTGAACACATTTGGATGTGAATCAGCCGGGACCCTTTGAACATCATGTAGGTGGGGATCATGTCCACCGGCCCTTGCAAGGTGGTTCCTTGTTAACACTCATCCCCATTTGTGTGTTGGTCTTTTTTGGGGGACCCGGTTTTCCTTCTAATTTCCCTTCGAAGGAATCACATCCCGGGTCAGGGTACCCACAGAAAGACACACCGACACACCCGTTCCGGCACCGATTGCCCATCTCACCTCACTTCCCGAGTTCCTGGACCATTCTGGCAACCGCAAAAAGCTTGGTGACGTTCTTGGAACCATCAACCCAAAGGTGGACCGGCAGCGGCCGGGCCTTCAGCGCTGGGGGCAACTTCACGGACACCCGCACCACCGTGCCCGAGGAGGTCCGCTCGGCGGTCGGCGGGGTCCCGACGCCGTCCAAAATTCCGTCCCACAAGGGGCCCCGTTTTTTTTTGGGACGCAGCGGCCGCGTGTTTTTTGGCCTTGTTCGCTGGACATGGAGAAACAAATCGGTGGTTTTGTGAAGATACTAAAAAATCATCAATCCTGCGCGTGTGAGTGTGTGGGCATGTTAAGACCATTGGAGCTCGTTGAGGACGGGGTCAAACAGAAAGCCATGTGGAAGCCAAGCATTTGCAAAAGTACCTAGTTTGACAAACCTAGTGTATGCGTA